TTTTAAAATGTGTTTTAGTTTATTTTTGTTCATTATAAAGTTCCAGAGCTATTTCTGGTATCTGAAGAAAATCTATAAAATTTCCTCTGTGAATAGTGTCTGGATAAACCAAACAAATAGTTGACTTCTAAGTCTGAAGACACTGGAAGGTGGTGTATGTCACAGTTGTATGTGATAAATACATACTGTCTTTTTATGCAGCTTTTTACTTCAAGGTTGTTAATTTGGTGTAATATGGGATTGGAGATAATGAGAAATTATCAAGAGTTGTTACAAACCCAGTTGTTTGAATAGCAGTTGTTTGTGTAGCAGTTGTCTGAGCTTATGCTCCTGTTAACTTTTTCCTTTCACTGTATAATTTAATCAGTTTTATGCCAAATATTGGTTTTGCTGTGGAACACTAACAAAGAGAGTTTCTCCTGAGAGGGTTTCACCCTTGTTTATACATCCTGACTAATCTGGTTTGGTACAGTGAAATAAGCAAGACTGAAGTGATTGTCTGCCAGTTCATGGAGCAGCTGCTGCTCAGGTGTTCAGATCATTAGTTAGGTGCTTGACTGAAATTTGAAGTTTGGATGTTGAATTCCTGTACTGAGTTGGCTGATACCATCCTCCTTCCAACACAGGGATTGGTCTTCTTTACCTATTGACTACCCTACGGTAATTACTACATGCTCTATAGAGTAAAAAGTTAGTCATTTACTCTACAATGACTTTCAGCTGTAACTTCCAGTCACTTGTTGGTTTACCAGTGTGATGGTAGGAAGGGAAAACTTTATGAAGTTTCCATTATTTCTAGAACAATGCTCAGAGTATTCTAAAAAACAGATCCTTGTCTATACCAGTGCATCTGTGTGTATATGTGAGTTCCTGGTACACTACAAACATAAGAGATTAAAAAGGTTGTAGTTCTCTCAGTACTGGACTGTAACATACACCAGAATGCTGGAGATTATAGAGATAAGTAAGTGGATGTTGCATGTTCTTGTGTCTGCATTCCAATGGCACAAGTGTCCTCAAAGATAAATTAAGCTAACATTCAAAGTCTGATGTAGATACCACAGGCTATATGCTAATACTGTTCTTCGTATTGCTGGAGTAATGTTGGTTGAAGGCAACTGATGAGAGATTGCACAAACGATACATAAAAAACTGTCATTTAATTGTCTAACTTTCTCAATTCCAGTAATCTTAATGTGTTCCTATGAAAATATTTTTTGAGAGATTTCTCCTGCTCCCTTCTGTGTGTTTAAGAGATTTCTAGAAGTACAAGTCTGACCCATTTACTATCTGACTACCTTCTTCTAAATAGGAAAAGATAAGCAATATGTGGACTACTATCAAAACATGATTTTTTTAATTATGTAACTTCTATCTGTAATGGGGATTTTGGGTGCTACTTTTGACTACAGAAGCATAATTCTCCAGTTGATACGGTCTTGCCTCTGTAATTTCAATAAGTACAAAGAAAATGTATCTGCATCTGTGTGTTAAGAGGGAAAGACTTCTACTTCAAAAGGAATGGAACAAGTCTGTTAGAAACGAGCTTCATGTTCCTAGCTTAAATGTGTACTTAAGTTCTTGCACGTACATTTGGCTAGAGTTTGTGCTATGTGTCTCATCTGATTATGTGTGAGCAGCCAAAGATAGCACACTGCTGCAGCCTGCATCTAAGTCACAAGTCTGGAGAAGAAGTTTTGCAAAATTGCTTACAGAGATTTGGCCTCTCAACTGGTCAGATTACCGTTCAGAGCTCTAGGACCCATTGGAAACCTTTTATATGTTGAAGAGGCCATTTATTAAGAACATCTACGTGGGTGGATTTGGATGATTGGAACATCAGCACCCTTTGGCCTTTCACACCAAAAATTTCTTTCACTTTGGGGCTCAGTTTTTCCTTCATATGCATTCATAGTTCATATGCATCCATAGTTACAGTGTTGAGATTTCCCTTAACTGCAGTTTAACTGGAAGAGGGAACCCTTCTTTCAGTCAAATGATACAAAGATCTAAGTTATGAGGGTGTGATTCTGGTCAGAATAATAACCTTTTGCTTTAAAAGTGGAACCAGGTGTACACTTGTTGAAAACAAGTCATTAACTTCTTTTTCTGTAAGAACCATTGGGAACTTGTCCAGCTTCCTGGGAAGGACTGGGGTTTTTTTTTATTTTTTTGTTAACTGGGAGAGGTTTCCCATCTTCCTCACCACATCCAGCTAGCCTGTTCTGGCCTGCTTTAGAAACCTGGGACAGACTTGAAAAGACATCCACTAGAGGCATTTATAAGCTGTGCATACCTTGTCAAGTCTTGATGTAATTGCTGAGGTGAATCACCTTTGTCCATTCCTAGTGTATTAATGGATTTATTTTCTTTTCAGTTTCAATGAAAGCAATGGATATCAAGCCTTGTAATTTGTTCCTAGTAAATAAAATGGATGGGAGGAGAGTCAAATTCCTATTCTAGTAAAAGAAAAATAAATTTTATGCCTATTGCAATTTAATCGTCATCCTGATTATCTTATTTTTCACATAGACACTTTCCTGAATTACCGAGTGTTTTAGGACCAATGATGATAGTAACAGCATTGCAATGAATAACACTGCATATCCTAGATGATGTAAAAAAATGCAGATTTAGTTGATATCAGTAGAAGTGAAGCAGAGTTTCTGGAATTCAAACATGTACTGGAAATAGAGAATCTGTGTTTTAAACCAATATATAGAATCAAACTTCTCCCCAAACGGATAGGTGCTGGACATATTACAGAAACATGTTCAGTCTTTGATAAAATTACTCCTAAGATAAATGGGAATTTTGCACTGCTCTGTAGTGATATCTGTTGCTAAATGAGGCTCTGAATAGGTGATATAGCTGCTTGTTAAGGGCATATAAAATAAAAGGAGTCATTTAAGGTGTTCTCAGGAAAGGAAGTTGCTGGCTGTACCCAGACTCTAAAATGAAATTCTGCTGCAGCACATAATCATATTTTTGGCCTTAGAGAGAGTTGTATTCTTACTCTTTGGCCAAAATTTAACTCATACACTTTTTTCTCACAGAGTGATTTGCAATCCTTCCATAAAGGAGAAGATTGTCCAAATGCGGCAATTCTATTATTTAAGTTATTGGAAAAAGTAGGGAATACAATCTTTACTTTTATTGTGTATTTACCTACAGTAGACTTAAAATGCAAACCATTCTGTGAGCCTGTTTATAAGGCATGAAGTTACTTTTGTTTTGCTTAACCCAGTGGCTGAAACATTGCCAGCAGTATGTCTGGAATGTTACTTACTTGGTCCATTTCTGTGTTTTTTCTTTGTAGCACTGTACACATGCTACAGTGAGGGGTCATTTACTTACAACTGACCAAAGAAATACCCCTGAAGCTGCAGTTATTCTTCTCATCAGGGGCTAAATTTATAATAAAAGGTTCATCATATTCTGCAGCTTCTGTGCTTGCACTTTCCCCCCCTCTCCGTCCCTCCCTCCCTCCCTCCCTCCCCTTCATCAGAATTGCTTTTGGCAAAGATTTGGAGAGCTGCTGTTTTTTCTTCCTTTGTTCTCTGCGACTTGATTCTTCTATTAGTGTTTTAATTTCTTACATTGTTGCTTACAACGCCAGCTGATTGAAATGTATTCACTTGCTTTGCTGGTTGACTATTATTATTTTATAAGGACATGGTTACTGAGTATGTTTTTCTATTTAAGTGTGTATCATATTTTATGGTCTCAGTTCCAGACATTCAACTGGTTGCAAGAAAACAGTAGGTGTTTTAACATTTCCAACGGAAGGGTAGGGTGGGTGGGGATGCTTTTTGGAACACTGATGAATAATATTTGACTCTTAGAAATGTCTTAAGGCCATGCACTCCCCTCCCATGCTCGGAAGGCTAGACTTAGTTTTAGAGACCTGTGATCTTGAAGGTATTACCATTATGCTTTATTTCCTTTCTAACTGTTTGGAGTTGAGAAAACAGTTGAAATGCAGGTTATGTATGCCAAGGGTTAGTGCAGGAATACTCTGCAGATGGTTGCCTTGGTTTGTACCCTTGCTACTCCCATCTGTGGCATGGTGCCCTGTTAATGCCTTGCACGTTAGTCAGAGGGCTTAATTCTGCTATTTTTCTTTCCTAGAGTTACTTAATTGCAAAAATTATGTAACTTTTGAGACATTAATGTCTGCAATGTCTATAAGCATAGCAGAAATTGCCTTACAGCAGAACATGAGTTGGGAACTGCAGTAACTTGCAATTCAGTGTTAAGTGTTTTCAATAGCAGAGCAATAATTCATAACAGTTTTTTCCCCCAATTTCTTCTTATAGTACTTGAGTGCAAAGCAGAGTAGACACAGATTGGGTTGTTCTCCCCTGTTGTGAAAAGCAGAGATTTAGTGAATAGCAAGTCTCCTTCTCGCTTCTGTGCTTGCGATAAAGGATGTTCTTCTTCCTCTGCATTTGCAGAAATTATCAGCTCCTATCATCAGATGATATCTTTGTAGCTTGTTTTAGGTTTTAACAAGCACATGTGCTTTACTATACATGGCTCTTGTTGCTTCTGGATAATGATTTATTTTCTTTATAAAATGTTTCTGCTGCATTTATTTCCAGCTTTGATTTAACTGATAAACACTTGCTGCCTATATTCATACCTGCTCATCTTTTATTATCCTGGCTTATATATAAATGCTTCTATTGAAATAAATCAGTCTTGTAATTTGAGAAATATAAAATTTGGGTTTAAGGTGCTTCTTACAGGTAATAATGTTTGGCGATTGAATACAAAATAACTGCTCGGCAGAATTTTAGTTTGATTCTTTGCCAGCCAACAATAAAGTACAACCTAATTCCTAAAAACGCCTGAATTATAAACTGTCTGTCATGACCTAGCATGCATATAGTAATAACAGGCTGACAAGGCTAATAAAGCCTATACATTATTGTGGCCACACAATTCATGTTATAACAGGTCAATAATGTATTTTGTCACTTATTCCTATTGTGCAGCCCACACATCATCTTCCTGTCACAGAGTGTATTACCGGGAGAGAGCCATCTCTGTGGAACACGTCTGTGCCATGAAATTGCTCATGCTTGGTTTGGACTGGCCATTGGTGCTCGTGACTGGACCGAAGAGTGGATAAGTGAAGGGTTTGCCACTTTTTTGGAAGATGTATTTTGGGCTAGGGCACAAGAGGTAAGGTGATGATACATCACTTCTCAGTTGAATTGTGTGGAAACTGAAATCATATACCCTGTTGTGAATTAGATATAAATGAAAAGTTCTGTGTTGTGAAGATAAGTCTTTAAAATAATATTGGCATTTGCATGATAACTTGACTTTTAAAAAAATAAAAAATACTTCCCAATCCACAATGAACACTAATCTTTACAGAGGTGGGGGTTAGTGCAAATTAGAATGGAAACATCTGTTTGTCAATGATTACCTTCCTGCAAATGTACTACTTGGTTATTACAATTCAGCTATCAAACAGTTGCTCTGCATTCCTTCCACTTGTGTTCCTGAAACTGGAATAATGATCAGACTCTTACTGAATATTGTAATAGTCCAGGTACCTAATGAAAGTGGTCTGTTTTTGTCCAGTGGACAGCCAAGAAGTGTGCCTCAAAACAAAATGGAAGCTGACCAAATAGGGCACGAGCACTTACACTTTTTTTTCTCTTATACAGCCCAGCAAGAGTTACCCTTATGTCAAAGGCTTAGAAATGATTGTTTGCCTTAAAGTGAAAAGCTTATAAATTGCATGTCAGCTAGTAAAGTGGTTTTCGGATCCAATTCTTATTTTTGTTGTACCACTGATATTTAAAACATTTCATGTATTAGTCATTTCTTCCTGTCCTTGTGTAGGGGCCTGATTCTCCCCCTTAAGTCTGCAGAGCTCCATCTGTGGAAGAGCAGGTGGGACTGGGAACTGAGCCTCCATTTTATTAAGTATCAGGCATATTTATAGCCCTGAACAAAACAGAATTCCTTGTCACTTACTGTGTTTCTGGAACAAGAAAGAGAGGAAGGCTGTCCAAACACTTTGCTTTTCCCTTCTGGTCCTAAAATTCATTTTGGCCCTTACATTGAGCATCAATCCTCTGCTGTGAGCTGTTCACATTAATTCTATGCTTCTGTGAGTCACCTGAAAACATTTTCATTGTAGAACACACCCTTCCATGTAGCTGAATGGAAAGCAGTAAGCAACAAAACGGGGTGATGAGTGCCCTTGTTAATTTATAAGGTTAAAAAAGTATTACTGCTTTTTTTTTCCTTTTTAGAATTTATGAGTAGTTTTGGTGCTGTGCAAGCATATAGTTGTAGGAAAGTGTCTTCCACAGTGCCTGACAATCATTTCCTGTGACTGAAATAGTGGTGTAATGCAGCATAATATTAGCTGCTTTTACTTTCTCCCATCTCCCATCTTTTCTTATAATAGATAAGCATAATTAGTTGTTATTTGTAAGCTGACAACCTGGCATTTATTTCATAAGCATGCATCTCCGTTAATATTATGTTAATGGGGGAAAATACAACAGGGAGCTTTCACGAGTGTTTCAGAAGTAGTAGAAAAGAGGAGTGAAGTCAGCACGCAAAGCAGCTCTTTGCTTTCAAGGCTGGAAAGAGTAAAGATGCAACCAAAACCAATATGCCAGGTATCTGTACTGTACATTCAGTTCACTTCTTGCTGGTCAGTAAACGGAAAAAAACATGCTCATCTCTCTCCTCAGGCAGAAGTATGTAAATGACTATTGATTTGATGCACACAGCGAGGCTTCTGTTTTCCTTAGTGCTGCCATTAACTCTTCTGGTAGCAACTTATTTTTTGTTTGGTTGGGGTTTCTTTTTAGTCATGGATATCGGTACTGTTTCCTGCATCTTCTTCCCTGTTAAAGGGAAACAAAACAGGTTTCTCTTTCTGAAAATTATTATTGTCTGTTGGAAAACAGCAGTCAGTGATCTCTGTTTTTTGTACACTAAGCAGCTGTCACATGATGAAGTAAAAGGGCAGCAAGAATTGAAAGCTTTACTTCGTTGGCGACGACTCAGAGATGAGGTGCAGAACTCTGAAGAAGAGCTGCAAGTTTTAAGGTAACAATATGACAGCATAATCTTTGCTTTTGCATGTTCCGTCTCTCCTGTTTTCCACCATTTTCTCCCTTCAAAGGATATGAATTTAAATTATCAGATTAAATCCACTGCCTTTCCTTATTTCCTTCTGAAGAAAAAAGAAAAGTCAAATTAAATTGACTAGGTTATTCATCTTATGTATAATGCAATTGCTTTACTGTTTGTTATAGAAAGCATTGAAAAACCATGGGATTTAGTTTGATATAAAATGTCTCTAAGCAGTTTACAAAAGCCTCTACTCAGGGGGGAAAAAAAAAGGCTGTTTCTTGAACAAAGTTCACTGTTTGAAGCCACAACAGATTCAGTTTCTGTGGCTGAGACAAGCACATACAGGAATATGGTATCTAACTGCCAAGCTGAATGGAGCTTTAAAAAACAAAGGAAAAAGCATAATGAAGTATATAAATGTATTTTCTCTTTAGAAATTACCAATAATGCTATTTAAACAAGATTTTGGCCTTTAGGTACCAGATGCTGAGCTCAAGACTTCTTACATAGCTAAAGACATTAGATCAAAAAAAGATTCTTGCTTTGCTAATGATTATTAATCTGGGCTGTTCTGGTTGGTGTCTTGGGAATTTGCCATAGTCTTGTATCTTGAGTGGCCGCCTACCATTTCCACTGCTTGTCTCTCCACAGTCTTTGACCAAGAAAAACAAGTTTACTAATCCTAACTCAAATTAGCTCTACACTGACCAAGTCATAGAAGTACAGGGACAGATTTCAAGAGATTATGTAGACCATTCTTCTACCCTGATACACAGACAGTATACACAGACCATCTCAAGCAGGTTTTTGCTAACATGTTCTCAGAAACCTCCAATAAAAATTAGCGGTACCTACCTAATCTGTTTTAATGTTAACAGTTAAACATTGCTTCCTAATGCACAGTTGAAATATTGTTTATTTCAAACAATGTAGATTTCTTCTTTTCTTCCACCAAGAAGCGGAATTGAAGAACAAATTGATCCACACCTTCTATATAATCAACTTTTAAATGTTTTTGGAAGACTGTTGCCATTTCATTCATTTTGATGTCTCCCCTTCTTTTTGTGCTTTCCCAGTAAGACATAAAAGCCTTTTATATTTGGGCAATGTTCACTAACACAGAAATTTGTCTCTACGGCCTCATGTAATCTGAAAATGTGTCACCAACTTTGCATATACTGTAGTCTGTCATTGATCTCTTTTACTTCATGTTTATTGATGAATTGTGTATCCTACATGTAAGCAGAATCAGTGAAGTTATACATTTGCAAGTGTGCAATTTAAGGATAGGTGTAAACACAAAAGCAAGCCTTATCACCAGCTCTAATACAGCTGCTACCAACACAACTACTAACTGACAAGTTCTAATGTTTTTGTTTGTTTTTTAAAAAAAATAAATTATTTTTAGGAACATTGCTTCTTGTGATATGAGACTTATCTGGATGTATGGTTCCATTTTCAACATTATGGAATCACATTTGTCATCTTTTGCATCAATTATGTAGTTGTTACTTTTAATAAAATGTGTATGTGGTGTAAATTTTTAAAGTAATTTTTCTATTTAAAGGGCCAAAATATCCTTTGTAGTTTGAAGCTCAGGAAGGATTGATCTATCTCAAAATTGAAACTCAAGCTTTCTGTTGACTTCCACACTTAGTAGACATAAGTCTCTGTAATAAGCATTCTGCTTACCTTTCACATAGTGGTATTCTCAATTCTCAAAGAATGACAAATTGTTTCTCCTTTGAAAAATATGCCTCTAATAAACACTTCAGGAGAGGAACATGATGCCACCTTGGGATTCTGGCAATCTCTTCCTCTCTGATGTCTCTAGTTTGCTGTGGTTGCATTTAAGGACTTTCCACTGGTTTCAGTGAGATATAAATATTCTTTACTTTTTTGTGGCATGGACTTGAATAGCTTCTCTCTTTGTGTGTTTACTGTTTTTTTTTCTTTTCTTTTTCCTTCTGAAAGTATGTCCATGTGCTTTCCAGAGTTGGTGTGTAAGACAGCAAATTTCAGCCTTGGCATTGCACTGGGTTTTGAGTCTGTACTGAGGCTTGTGCTGGTTCAGGCTTGTGTTTTTACACAAGGATATTGAAAGTAAATTATAACTGTTTGTTTCTTCTTGACAATTATGTCAGGAAGAAAAAAATCAGCCAACTCACTCTTCCCAAGCATAAGCCTATTCTTCAATTACTTTTTTGTTCCCTGCCCAAAATTTGTCAGCTGATCCAGCAAATGAATACTTGTTCAGACTAAGGCGAAAGCCACTCAGCAAACTGATCATCAGCATGATGTTTCTTATTATTATGGATAGTTGATATTATGTTATAGTAGCATCTCATAAGCTACCTGTGAAAAAAGAAGTCAGGTATGAAAGAAATAGGTAAATGTCTTTTCAGCAGGCAGCAGCTCTGAAAGGAAGCACCAGCAAATTTGAGTATTGAAGAAGGAATTTGTGGCACTGTAGTGCTCATACAGGGTAAGACTTCAGACAGAACCCTGTGTATTTTCTCACAGTTTGAAGGAAACCTGCAGGGATAAAAGCACTTGTGAAATATATCCTTACTCTGCTGGCAAGCAGCAACACCAGCACTGTCATCCAGTCTCTCATGTTACGAAAGCAAATGACTAGAGAAGTCTATTTCATTCTGTGGAATAAAGCTGGTGTTGAGATTGTTTCATGGCCTAGCCCTTAGAATATCAGCTTGTGATTCTTCATTAAGACAAACCTGTGTTAATACCTAATTCTAAATTTCTCTCTGAGTTCCACTTGAGTCAAATCCATTTTCCCCTGAAGCAATGCTGTCTGGTGGATGTTCGAAGAGTTTTATTCTGTCACGGGCATAGGAAACGTGCCTTTCAGATGGTCTCCTGTGATCTCTGCATCGGTTTTCATCACTACCTAGCACATCAAAGCATTTAATTACCAAGGACTTCCTAGCGAATTGTACTTTTACTTTGTACAGTGTACTTCTCTTCCTGGCAAACAAAAAGCATCTTTTGCTTCCTTCAGAAATTTGCTGGTATCTAAAATGTGCCAAGTAGCAGCTTGAATTTCTTGAATCAGCTTGCCTTTAGCATTATGCCTAGCTTCATCAACTATGTTAGATACCTGATTTTGTAGGTCAGTCTTTCAGTCTTTGTACCTTCAATGTGTTGTAAATATTCTAAGCATTGTTTTGAAATAGTGTGCTGAAGTACTGACAGCAGAGAACAGGGTAATTTTTTTAATATTTACATTCTTTTGCAGACGTTATACATCTTTTGCAAAAGGAAATTCTTTAGTACCATCATCCAGATGGCATGCTGCTTTCTAGTCACCTGCTAGGATCTACACAGGCACAAAATTGGAGGAAGAGGGAAGGAAGTATAGTTGCCAAATTTAGAATAATTGTGATTATGGGAGGTATTTCAGTTTAGTGTGGATCCTGTAGCCTGTGCTTAAACTCAAATTTTCAAAGTCTGTAGACTGGGCTATTTATTATGAGAGAAATGAAGCAGTTTTGGCTTGTTATATATGCAGAGAACAACGAAAAGTCGTGTATGGAATGCGAGTAGGCCTTCCATCCAGCACACTGATCCAGAATGGAAATAGGTGGACCTCTGTTCTTCTGCTGTGGGTCTGCAGTGATTACATTGTCTTGAAGAACTGGAGTTACTATAAACAGTTGTTGATCTCTTTCTTTCAATGTTGAAGGAAGATCTTCCTTAAAAGAAAATATGAACTATAGCATGGTAAAGGACTGTGTTAGGAACAGTATAAAACTGAATCTGCATTTTGGTTTTCTACTTTATTTCAAACAGTTGTATTTTATCAAGATACTACTGTGTGAAGTGAACTTTATGTGCAAAGGTCCTAAATGTAGTGCCTAAAGGGTGAAAAAAACAGCTTAGCACTCTGGACAAAACTCTAATAAGAAACCATTACACAGATACAAAAAAGGAAGAATGTTTTCCTCAAAGCAGACATAGATATGAAAGAAATTTGATCACAAGGATTAGCTCGTGAGAAATGTGTGAGTGATGTGCTTTGAAGAATTGTGCACTGCTGTGGCCTGTGTTGCCCCTGTTCTCTAGAAGTGAGGGGAAAGACGTTTGGTTTCCAAGACTGGCCATTTCAAAATCCACACTTAGAATTGGAGAGATTGTTTCAGGCACAGGGTTAGGCTCCTAAGACAGACATCTGTTCTCAGGCCACTGTTAGCTGGGATTTCTTGTGGATGGAATAAAAAAACCTAGAGGGCTCTTTAGTACTTCCCTGCTTACAAATGAAAATTATTTACACAGCTTCCTTTTGGTTTCACTCTGTGCTCAAAAGAGCCTAGTTGAAGTCCTCCAAACCTTACTGCTGTGGATTTCTGGCATACCAGATGCTGTATTACATTTTAAAATCAGGCATTGAAGAATTAGGTTTCTTCTAGACATTAGTGTGTAGAACAAACCTCTGTGTGTGTGTGAAAGGCTTGTTTTAAAAATTCAACTACTTTCTTCCAACTCCAAATGGCAAAAATGAACATAATTTCTTATGCAGTGTACTGCATGCAGATGAAAGAGGTTATTCTTGAAGTATAGTTATGTAACCTGTTAAGCCAATGTTCAGGTATAAGAAGAGAAATCTCTAGTTGAACATAATTACTTCAATCCTTTCCCTTCCTTCTTCCCTTCCTTCTTCCCTTCCTTCTTCCCTTCCTTCCTTCTTCCCTTCCCTGTTTGATTCGCTTTGTTCATAATATGCCTGTGCACTGTAGAATGGCATGCAATGTGATGTCATGCTGGCAGTGAAAAGAGTACACCAACTCGGTGATGGATTTAATTCATACCCCAGCTGTCTGGTCAGCTATGTACAAAATTCCATTAAAAGTTTGAAATTGGTATGTTGGTTCATCTGTCTAAGCGAAGTTATTTACTTAGAGTAAAGAAAAAAGACTGAACTAGCCATAGGTGTCTAACATTACTATGTCATTCACAATACTTTCAACTATGAGAATGTGTAACATTTTAATTACTCTTTACTTACTTATCTAAGTCTTAATTAGTGTGTTGCCATTTTAGGCCCAAAAAGGAGAGTACAGGAGAACTAAGTGAGTCTGGAGCTTCTATTGTCAAACATGGTCTTAAAGCAGAAAAAATCTTCATGCAGGTTCACTATTTGAAGGTGAGTGTTGTCAACTGATTTTTATTGAAATAGCTTTACTAATGTGATAAAGACTTCTTTCTTCTAGACATCAGCAAATTCACAGCATCCTAATTGTTTCTGGCTTAATTTCTTGCAGGGTTATTTCCTTTTGCGGTCTCTGGCAAGGACAATAGGAGAGGCTTCATACCTTGCTTCTTTACGAAAATTTGTCCATAAGTTCCATGGGCAGCTTGTCCTTTCTCAGGTACTGTGGTTGGGGTTGTTCCTCACTTTCTGAAAAAAACAATGACTTAAACTTTGATTTGGTTATCTAAATCACCACTTCTGGTTGTGGTGAAAAGAGAGAGGCAATTGTAACTTGGCAATATTGGTGAAATTCCTACCTGCTAGAGGGCAGAACATTTTTTTCAGTGATACATAAATTGGAGACCCTGCTAGTATCTAATAATGTAAACAATGGGTGAATTTTATTTTTATTTTAAATTAAACTTGATACTTTGAAAGGTCAATGTTCATAGGTGCTGATGTGCTCCAAGATAGGGTCATTTACAGTACTGGAATTGTCTCCTGTAGTCTTTCAGCTCCCAGGTTTTGGTTGTGATCAGTCATTCTTTTCCCCGATACCTCTCTGTTTCTGACAGAGGAGAAACACAGAGCAGGAATCTAACTGAAAACTTCTATAAATAGTAACAGTGTGTGCACATTATATTTCTGACTTTATTTCCTTCCTCGCTGCATGCTGCTTCATTCAATGCTTATAATTTCACAGTTTTTCTTATAAGGACAGTCTGTTTCTCACCAAGTCAGAGAGTGATGTCCCATCACTCTGTGACATTGCACGCACCTGTATTACAGTCTTGTGACAGCCAGCCTCTGTGTAGGTTTCCTCATCATGGTCCATAGTCCCATGCTTTCTAAAACATTCTGTTACTGAAGTATTAATCTAAAAGGGATATTTAAGATGCGCTGCTTCTTTCTTTCAGCAGACTTTCTCTGACAGTGATAGCATGCAGTGGCAGCCCACTCTTAAGAGCAGTTGTTCTCATAGAACATATGAACATAGGATTTTTTTCCTGGATTGGTGAAAGCTTGGTTGTAAAAAATAATGTTGAATTAGGAATCTGAATCTGCCCTCCCTAAGCCCAACTGCATATATTAATGACTTGTACTACAGACTCAGCCTATTCTCTTGCTGGCATACGTGGTGTATAATTATTTCATGCAAAGTAGAACAGCTTCAAAAGGAAAGATTGAGCAAGTCACACACATTATATTGTACCATCTGTCACATAGAGAACGCACCTGAGGTTATAAATAGAAATTCACCTCCCCCTAGGTCTTCCTGAAAGAGTCCTGTAACCACTGGCTGTAGCATTAAAAGGGGGACTGTCTTGTCATCCAGTGTTTTGTCTTGAGAAGGGAATGACATAGCTCTCCGAAACCAGAGTTCTAGGAAATCCTGTCATAGCTGATGAATCCAGCTTGTGCCATAGCACTTAACGTGCTGTGAAGACAACCATTCATGGGGGTGTCTGTGAACCAGGTCACTAAACTCATCGTGGTTAAAAACAGGCCTGAAACAAAAGGCACAACATGACAAATAGTTGGCATCACTAGAAGAGCAGTGTGATGAGAGGGAGTAGCAGGGGAAGAGAGAAGAGAAGGGATATGAGTGAATTTCTGAAACCAGTTTCTTTGCTGAAGTCTGTCTTTTCTGGAGTTGTGGCTGAAATCTTTGAGGGGATTCAGGATGGTAATAAATGTCTCCTTGCAACACATTGTAAGGGCCTCTGATTTTGAGGGAATGGGGTCTAATACTCCTGTTTCTTCCAGCCACAGTGATTCTTTGTTTGTGCACTTGCTGTTTTGAATCTGACTTTTACGGGATGAGATGTACGCTACAAATAGCTTACAGACCTGTGGGTTCTTTCATGTGTCAAGTCACCCAGAAGATGGGCACAGCAGGTCTACTGCAGCGGCTCTGCCCTGTGGAGGAACGTTTGGGGTGTTAAGGGAGTTAACGTTTCCACTGCTGCAGCTGTGTACTGTACCATGTTACTGAGACCTTGAGCAGTTAATGTTTGGCATAGTGTGGAAAATGCCAGTGACTATACAAGTCTTGCCTACATTATGGTGTCCAAACTCATAAATACGATACTTCACTGTTACACATCTGTAAACTTCTTGAAAATTACAGAAATCATGAAACTGCTAAAAACACAAAGCAGCCCAATGTTTTAACCTGGTGGTGAGAAAGGTGCTCACATTTTGGTGAGAAAAAGTTAGCTTGTGCTCCTGGTTGATGTGAGATGAGTTGTGTTGGTAGACTGTTTAAATGCTGCAAAGTGTCTTAGCACATTATGCTGTTAGTCATGATAGCTAGATTGCATTGCAGTTGAACTACCGATCTACTAGAGACTTCTCCCTTTGTCCACCACTCTGCTATGAAATTTGTAGCATATCTAACTTCAGTCTCATATGATGAAATACTACATGTTGTTTCTGCACCCAGAAACAACCATTTTGGTTATTGGATAAAAAATTGTTTAGTGTTTTTAATTATTCAAGCAAGAGTAAGTGATGCTCTTACTTCAGGTTTCTTAGGCTAATTTTTATTTGAATATGTGCAATATGTCCATAGTACGTGCTTAATGTGGGTCAAAAAAAGATACTTTCCTTCATGTGAAGATACTTGCTCTGCTGGAGAAAGAGCTATGTACCACATAACTTTTATCATGTGCTTTTTTGTGCTTTTACCTTGTTTCACAGCAGCCTAAATCCAGATCCCATTGAAGTTGCTGGGAAGATAATTTTAATATCATCATGTTGTTTGGACACTATGTTAAAAATGGAAAGGGGATAGGGCTATATCCAATTGTAAATGCATTTACTGTCTTTGTAAGAAATCTTAAAGTTTGCATTTATGTCGATGACTGGTATAGGTAGATATTGGAATGGCAAATGCAGAAGCAATGTTAGTACTAAGTTTATTATTCAAGTTCCTTCTTGAACAAATGTGCTGTCAATGTTTAAATGAATAGAAGATTTAAAATAAATAGAGGTGCAATTCGTAAGTTTTAAGTGTTGTATTTTCATTGTGTCCAAAATAATTGTAAAAGTTCCCAGCATTAGGAATTGTGGGGACAAGGGAAAGTGAAAACAGTGAAAATAATTGCCCATGTTCTGAATACTAGTCTTGTGTTCAGTGATGTTTGTAGTATTTTTCCTAGATGGGAACTGCAGGTGCAAGGAAATGACTTCAGATGTGAAACATTAATCAGTTTGCCTTTTTTCCTTCATTTTGATTGCATGCTTAGTATGTTTTTAATAGTAGTTTTGTTTATTTTAGTTGAGTTAGCAACAGATGAGTAAAGCAAGTCTGGAATCTTTGAGAAGGATTTAAAAAAAATCTTCTATTTTTCCTTCTGTGAGAGAATTCACTTAGTAACTCCTTTGAATGAACTTTTAAAATAATGAATGAAGTGTTACTGACTATAAATAAATAGAAAGGAGAGCACGTTGCTGATATTTCTAACACAGTTAAAGCTGTTGTTCAGTTTGATATTGAACTAAGAACACCTTGGGAATTGAATTGTTTGCAGACTTTAATTTTTATGTAGTTCTGTCTGCTATAATAATAACCCAAGTTTTGTAGTGTTCATCCATCTGATAGAGTTATAATTTTCTATAATAAAATGATAGTTAAGGAGGCAACATTTCAAAAAAATAATAATTTATGCTATCCTTAAATGTTTTAAAGGCAGATGTATGGATCCAAGCCTACTGTATATGTATCTATATTAACATGTTCCTGCACACAGATTTGCATATCATCATTTTATAAAATTGGTAGCTGCACACACAAGCTGCTGTTCAACTGTCTATTAGCTTGTAGAACTCTTGTAACTAGAATTGTAAGTCTAAGCAAGCCGTGTGCATGTATTTTGATGTTTCAACCTCCAGAATCTTTTCTTTAGATAAAAGTTTAACTAAAAATTTGTCTCTGCAGTTTGTCCCCAGCTGTTCCATGCTTACTGAGCTGGGAGCTTGAGCGAGCAACTGTCGACATCAGTGGGGTATGGTGTGGACTCTGGTGCTGTCCCATTCACAGCACATGCCACCCCTCTAAGACAGGGGTCTTTGCTTTCTACACTCTTATGTGCTTGGAAAACAGAAATAGATGGGTTCGTTTTACTCAGATGGAGTTTTTCTTGTTCCAATTCTTGCATAAATGAGCATATTCGTACTTTTTTTGTTAGCTGGGCATCATGCAGCCTTCATCAATTTTCTTTATATGTCTGCATTATGAGACAACCTTTAATTACTACATGATCACTGTTCTTTTATTATTTTTTTTCCAAAGACCTTTGCCTTATTTCTGTAGAATAGGTGTTGCTCTCATATGAAGTAGCTGCTTGGTATTTTGTTCTCTGTTCACTGTTTATAGGCACTTTATTTACCATGCAGTATGCCTTTCTTTCTGTTCAACTTTTTAAGTTCTAACAAATGTAAGCCAATAAAAAAGACTGCTTCACTAAGTTAGACATTTTAACGTGAGATTAACTGTGTTTAAAATGTTTATGGATGTGACAATTGATTAACGTATGGATCAGTTAATTACATTGCACATTTTGACAACCCATTACGTTCATATATAAAAATCTAACTAGCTTTAGGCCATATCTCTGCTTCAGCTCAAGTATCTTGAAAGAAGGAATATTGTGCTTGAAGACTAGGTTAGTAAAAGTCATTAACATGGCATAAGGCAAGATTTTCTTTTGGTGAGAAAACTTTCTATCTCTTTTTTCTGATATAATTTTTTCATAATTATATATGATAAAATGTTTATTTTTGAAGGACAGAAGTCAGAATGAAGTAGAGCTAGAAATGTAACTGGAGAAGAAAGCAGGGACTAGTGAAGCTAAGAGTAGCTCAAATGATTTTATAATACAGATGAGTGATTAAAAAGTCAGTTAATGTGTCACACATTTTAATGTCCAGCAGTATAGTTGTATTAAAAAAAAACAAGTATCTTTTGGTATCATTTATCTCAAGTATAAAGATCTTAAAAGAAGCTGTAAGTTTTACCCATATAATTGTCTTCGATCTTGGAAATGACCCATATATCTAAAAATGTCTTGGACCTTTCTGACAGAGTACACAAATCCTTCCCACAGCTGCTGAGAACTTACTAAGTCTTGAGCCTCAGTCTTCAGCTGTGGAGTATCTTTTTTCATTTCCATT